TAGCTATAGTCTAAATGATAGGAAGGCTATAAAGATGGCAACTGGTTTTTTGTGATCATAATCCAACAACGTCGAAACTAACGAATTATGGTCAAGAAATATCTATCACTAAAAATATAAACGTAATTATAATCAGAAGAACTAACACATGAGAAAGAAACGACACGAAACAATTGATTCAAAACTAAATTTGACGTAGAGTTCGTTCAAGGTTTCCAACCTAGATTCGAATACTGGCATCAACAGACGAAATTTATAAAGTATAGCACTGGTATGTAAAATAAATTAAACTCGAAAAATGTTTAAACCGTAAATCATATGATGTCCAAACATTAATCACGTAATTAAAGCACAGTGAAGAGAAGAGTTATTCATTTAAATAAGTTGATAAAAACAAAATTGAAGCATGTTCTATCATCCAGTAACCAACATATGACTGTTTCAAGTGTCAAGAACTAACTGAAAGAAGCAAGGTGAGTTATTTTGAAAACTGGGAATTGTTAGAGATTAACGAGGTTAGAAGAGTAAGGGGTGCAAGCAAATGAGGCAGGATGAAATCTATTCAAATGTACCGTGATGAACCAAAGCATGTCGATAAGCGTATAAATGGATGGGATATGGCTCATTGTAACGAAAGAACGCGTGTGTAGTGACATTTGGCCCTAACCACACAATCCTCAAAGCTGAACACGAGACAACTGGGAAAATAGATATTGAACATTTAACGCGGAGAAAAACCCAATAATGGAGAAGGGGGGAAGAATGAATCCAATCAATTCAAATTCTTCGAATGGCATGGCCTTGCAGACGTGATCATTCTTGTCCTAAATGTGTTCATCATACATTGGTTATTGTTATGATGCGATGAGTCAGTGTAGACAATAATGTGGCTTCCACGTATGATCTTATAGATTAGGCAGTTACATCATGACAAATCTACAATTTTAGGACTAGTTCTATTATTAGAGCAGTACTAATGGCGAAGTAGACCATAATTCTACGAGTCCTTGCATTATCATTCAATGAAGCGATTAGATATACTTTTAACCCCTCATTATTTCAATACGTGGTATGAAATTATACACAAAAATACTTAGAAAGGAGGTAAAAATGATTATCCAGATTTAACGTATTGTATTGTATCGTCAAAGCAAACAAATGATAGAAGTGGTTGAGTGTAATGTAAACTACTTAGTTTTAGTAAGTAGTAAACTGTCATACAAAATATGGGAGAACACAGATTTAACGGTAATAATAACAATTTTTCAATGTTTTGTGGATTGAAAAAAGGGGCCGACCGCTACCAATGTTTAGTAAGTTTTCAGGAGTGTACAGTTACATGAACTATGAAGAATTGACAGTTAAGATCAAATGAAAATTCAAAATGCTGAAAATGGATTAAACTAAATTTCATTCGTTTGTCGTCATTTGTTGAACGATCGGATAAAAATAGTACCATGCACTATCAGTGGTGTTGCATCAATATTCTTCCACCATTGCTGATATAGCTGTTAATAAAAAATTCAAATAATTGTCAATTATCTTAATTTGGGTCTTTCAGAAAAGGTGCTTTGTCAGTAACTACGTAGCTTGATATTCTGATATATTAAATGTTCTTTTGACCAGCATTCTAGTGGATAATCAAGTAGATCAACTACAGAACTGTTTGTGGTGTTTGAATGAACTAATGATCCCTTTGTATTTGTTAAATGCTTGATTGCAAATTCTAAATACAGTACATTTGTTCGTGATTGTCTATTACTTCTTGATTCAATTGCGTTATTTATGGGATTCTTAGTTCGTACTATAATTCAAATACTTCTAATCATCATATTGGCATCGCGATTGAGCCTGTGATGGAACGGTTGGACATCTATTCAGATTTTCATGCTTTTGAGGATTACTTTGAAAGGTTTGAAATCTGGGCTATGACCAAGGAAGAGGATGTTAACATTGTAGCACATTTACTCACATTCATAAGAAAAGAAGCATATAGCTTATTAAAAACTCTGGCTTTACCGGAAAAACCCATTTCGCTTCCTTATACAACTCTCAAGGAACTACTGCTAGACTATGTTAAGCATAAAAATTTCGAATATGGTAATGGAGGAAGATTTCATAAAATGATTCATGAGGATATAAACAACTCCACTACATTACTACGTCATCCCAACCCAGTGCATACTCAAGGCTATGCAGATAATTCATTGGGGAATTGCGATGAAGTTCACGAAGATGAGAACAGGTTTGGTCAATGCTTGTCCTGTGGCAGGTTCCACTCTTTTAATTCATGTAAATTTCGTAATTCCAAGTGCCTTAAATGTGGTGATATTGGACATATTCAGTCAGTTTGTAATACTACTGTTAATCTTGCTGCAACTAATATTAAGTCTTGCAATTCTGTTTCTATTAAGTTGAGTATTTATAATGATCATTTATCTTTATCAACGATTTCAAAAGACAGTGGAGTCATATAGCAGTTTAGAGTTAAATGAAACTCAAAATTCTTGCGACACAACAGTTTCTAATCAATTGACTTATCAGATTTCTCATGTTATTGTACCAGATATGGTTTTTCCCAATGATTCACTCATTTCTAACGAAATTACTTGCAAATTTGAGGAAAATATGCTTAATGAACCTAGTCATTATCGAAAACCTAATGTAGTTTTGATAGATGCTGGTTTTTCTAATGATCCTTTACTCTGCAATAACAATCCTAATAAAATTGAGGAAACTATTTCAGAAGAATCAAATCTTGATGTTCTATCAAATGTTATTTGTCCTCATAATGCATTTGTTGCTCGTAGGAAACTTGTTCAATGCAAAACACGAGTGCTAAGTGAGCTCAATTTTCACTACAATTCGGATGATTTCATATCAACTGCTGTTTATCCTTATCACGAAGGCACTTCCAATATATACTCTAGTCAATGTGAGAAATATGTTTTAAATGAAGCCACATTATTCATAAATTGGCGATATAAAGATCCAACATTATTTCGTGGGGGAGGATAGTGTTGGGAAATCTGTGCTTTAAATTCTCCATAGTGGTTTCAGTACACAACACGCGAATGTATACAATCCCAGGAACTAAGTGAGTCTGTTCCGACTTCGGTTCTTAATTCCAATACTAATGTGCACATTCTAGATAATACAGAGTTTTTATCCAATACACTGTCGGACAGACAGGATGAACTTAAGAAGACGTACAATCGATTACAGACACTTAGACTCCAATTTAAGCTGTGGCGGATGTGGTTTTTGAATGAACTAGTGATTCCTTTGTACTTGTTAAATGCTTGATTGCAAATTCTAAATACAGTACATTTGTTCGTGATTGTCTATTACTTCTTGATTCAATTGCGTTATTTATGGGATTCTTAGTTCGCACTATAATTCAAATACTCCTAATCATCACATTGTTCCACCGTTTTGTTTGTACGAATATTTCAACAGAAATCAATTTATATATTTTTTTAAATTATCGTAAGTATAGGAGTTCAGAAGGAGCGTCCCATCAGTTTGGTGTACCTTTATCCAGGTGTAAATGTTTACAATGAGACTCAAACTTATTAGTTACCGCTCTGTACGCCAACGCCTAACTCAGTGATTACATATAACCAACAAAACATTCAATAGGTATGAAGATTTTTTCCCTACTGTTCATATTCAGAACTAAATTTTATCAGCCGTTGTTGGTATGTGTGCCTCGATATCGCCTATACATACAATGGCAGTATATTTCGGGATGACTGTTTCGTTTTAGTTGGTCCTAATAACGCGTCTGTATTGATTTCCAAGACGCGTAGTGAGTTCGAGTCTCGATATGAATATCAAAACCGAGGGAATGCATTTGTATTTGTAATTATTATTGAGGCATCTACTTATTTAAGAGCCTGGTTGAATGCAGATAATACAAATCCTTAAAGAGGTAAGTTCACTAAGGAAAAACCTAACAATGGTGTCTGATCATAAGGAAATTACTTTAACTTTGTGACAAAACGATTCATTGAATATATGAAGGTTGGAATTCACAAGTTCTGAAATATGTTTGTATTACGAGTCACAGGATTACTATTCACTTAAATGAACAACAAGTCGAAAGCAGTTAGATTACAAAATAAAACCAAAGTTAGGATACTCTATTCAGTATCATACATTTGGAATGCCAGATAGTAATTTAAGTGAATAAATTACATAAATCGGTTCACGACGATTTAATAGACTGCCATGATGTAGTGAACAAGAACACGGGTGGGGACAATTGAATGTATTTGACACAAATTTACAGAGCATCTCAATAAAATCTGAGAACCATATATTAAATCGTTAATTTGCAAAATGTCCATCAATTGTCTCAAAATGCCTCAGACTTCATTGTCCTTGCATTTCCATACAAATTGCATTCTATTCCCACTTTCGCTTTCTTGATCTTCCCCCCATCTTCTGCTACCAGACATTACATTCCTGACTCGCGTCATGTACTACTTATATCAATATAAGTAGCACGCACCACAATGATGATTCGACAAGGTAAAAAAATTTTCACATTACAAATTGTCTGTTAGTTTATATATAACGTTTACCATCGTTGTCAGTGGAACTTTCAATGAAATCTCAAAGTTTAACACACAGAATCATTCAAAAGAGGACAATTTTTACCATACATTTATGTAATACAACGTATATAACATAATAAATGAAAAGCAAACCGGTTATATACACTCATCTCATTGGATCAGATTCTAGAAGATTGTGGAAATGACTTATCCTCCATCTATATATTATCGATAAATAAATAAATTATAAACTTTACCAATAACTTGCCCCAGAAAGCCTAATTTATTTTTATTAATAAATTAACAACTAACTAAAAGTACAAAATAACTTAATTATACAGCCCTCTAAAAAATAACAGCAAACTCATTGAAATAGAGGTAGAACAAATACAGAAAAATAAACTACGAATAAAAAGGAATAAAAATACCAAAAGATATTTAATAGTTCAACATTGTATTTGATAATTGATGCACTAAATAAACAAATTTATTCACTTTATCTGGATCAACATCAGGATAAATGCCATGACCCAAATTGACAATATAACGATGTACACCGAAATTATTAATCATTTCTTTTACTAAACTTGAAATTTCATTCTCATTAGAATATAATGCGCAAGGATCTAAATTACCCTTTAAATAATTATAACAAGAAAAATAAATGTTATGAGTATTTTAAATTATAAATATGGAAGGAAATTATACAATAATGAGTACATAAATGTAAATTAGTGATTTAGTTCAAAGTTGTTGTAGGACCAAGAAACAATACTACATATTTGCTTACAGGAAATGGGACAACGTTAACTTGAAATGGTGAGCTAAATAGAGCTATAAAATCAAATCTTTCCATAAAATTATAATACCTCCAAAACAGTGATGGGCATCATTGTTCTTTATAAACATGATACTATCTTGTTCAACTGGAGAGTTAGGAATTCACTTTAGAATAAAATGATAGTCCCATCAATTGCTTGATTAAATTAGTTAGCTAACTAAACGAAGAATATAGAGCTAGCTAAAACTGATTTTATTTATTACTTATTTAGTTTTCAATAGTTGAGATCATGAGTTAATTGAAGCTAGACCACCATGGAAAACCTGGAAGCACTGGACGGCCATGTTGTCATATTGTGGGACTCTTCAGTAGTGTGCATCCACGATCCCGCCTCGTGAGATTCGAACCCAGGACCTAATGGTCTTGTGAGCGAACGCTTAGCCTTTAAACCACTGATCCGGCATCCAATGGTGTTAGTGTCTAACTTCAACTGATCCACGGAATTGGGTGGCATATACACTGTTGTCTTCAGTGAGTTACTGTTTCACAACAGACCCGGTTGAACTTCACTGGTCACTGCTTCTCACTAGAACTCCATGAAATACCTCTTGAAGCCAGTCAGTAGTGAACGTATGCTGATTAGTTTCAGAAGGGTTTTTTTATTTAGTTTTGTCAGGCATTGATAAAATTTGAAAACAATTGTTACATATTAGTATTGACTGGAGAACTATTGAAAACTAACTAGGTACCTATTTTGTCTTAGTTTTAGACCTAACAGGTTGCCGCTATTAAGTAGGAATCCATTTTGAAACGGATAACTAGTAGGTTTCGTTTATGCCTTCCTTATGAATATACTGACTCAGCAAAATACATATAACTAGTCTTATGTAATAAGGAACTAGTTCTAATGACTTATGAATTACAAGCAAGTGTTTGAAATTGATTAGACTTTATTCGTATAAGAATTATTATTACTCATTGAATGTGTGTCTTCAATAGAAATGTTAAAAACTGCAGGGTTGGATATAAATAAATATAAAACCGACGACCTTAGTGGCAAGCAAACTTAACTTACTTGTAATGTGATATTAAAACCTACAGTATTTCGAGCTAATCTAGGAGATATGGTCCAATCTAGGCTAATAACATCATAACCAGATTTAGATAATTCAGTAAGAGCATAATGACCATCTTTAGCAAATACGATGAGTGGTGGAATATAATCGTTAGGAATTTTGTATTCATTCAACAAACGGCTTCGTACTTCATTTGCAATTTGTTTCAAATACGGTAAACAAAATGTATTAAACAAGTGTGGGCTAAGAAAGCCAGCGTGAGATTCGAAACCTACGAGAATAGAAAATATAAGTAACTATTTACAATACAGGTTACTCGAAACCGTAGAAAAATACGTGAAGTACATCTATCATGTACTTGGTTACTGAATCATTTTTACATCGGTATTTACCGAGTAGTGAGTGATTGGAAATAGTCCAGATACGCCAGAATAAATTAGTTGCCATTTCGGATTTATGTGAATAAATAAATAAAACAGTGCACGAAGCTCTACTCTACGCTGGTGAAACCTTAAACATACCGCCTGACAATTATGATAACTATCATTGACGATTGGTGTCGTTTAGGGATTGTACCTACCACCCGAAGATTAACTAAAATTGGGATGTGTATTTCGACCACTGAGTCAGCTTTCACTAATTAATCAATCGAATCCAGAATTAAAATACATTCGCAAAGCAGATCTGTTTGATACGTTTCACAAATTTAATTTACTTATTTGAACATATAAACATTGGTACAAGGAGGCACCAAATACATATGCGCCACACAACAATAATGAGGCCATTAGTAGTTACTATTGATTTGTGTGGGGGCTGGGACACCTACGGGACACTCAAACCGAAGCAAGTGATTTTCTATGCGGAAACATCCCGAGCTTTAGACCTGAAGTTCTAATACACAAGGTAGTTAAGCAACGTTAAGAGATACAGTCCCATGATAGCCGGTAACCAACAACAGGTTCATACGCCTTTTGTTCCTTCAGGATCCTGGAACCCATGTGCACACTGGTTTGGAATCAGGGTTTCCCAACTCCCCTAAGTGGATCCCCCATATCTACCAACCCGGTTAAAGAGAATTATCCTATGATCATAGCAGTAGATTGTCCGTTATTTAGTAATTGCTCTTCAAGTTATATGGTTCTCACTAAAAATAATCGGTATTCGTAAGTAGACTGTAACTCAGTAACTAAGTGTTAGTTCTTATGATAGATTTCGACCCGTAACCCGTTATTCAGGAGTCATAAGTGTAGTAATGTTTAAACCTGTGATCCCATAGATCAAGAAAACAGTACTATATTAGGGGAAGTTAAAACAATATCACAACACAAATAATCAGGAGGTTTTACTATATTATGAGTGGATTTTGTCGAATGTATATAATTAGCACACTACCAATAAAAAACTAAAATGAGAAAAAAGGCAATTACTTGAAGTAACTGTGCACCGGAAAGAAACTGTTGAATCAAATGCTCTACAATTATCTGAGTAAGTAGACTAAGCAATCTCTGACTTGATTGAGGTTCGGTGTATAACCATTTTTTTGATTTGGAATAAGTATTAGAACTTCCACCTTCAATCATATAAGACATTAGAGTCCAGGGAGCACCAGCAAAACCGATCAAAGGGACCTTTCCTTCTAGTCGATGGCGTGTTAGGGTTATTGATTTATAAACATAGTCTAATTCTTTTCGTACATCAACTTGAGCGTTTAGCCGATCTAAGTCGTTTACTGAATTTAAAGGTTCAGTAAATTTAGGTCCGACACCAGGTTGCATCTTCACTTCCATACCAAGAGCCTACAGAAAAGAAAAACTACAACAATACTTTCATCGTGTGACAACAGATATATATTATGATATTAGCATACTGTGTCCAAAAGCTATTTAAATTTAGTATGTAGTTGTCGGATGCGAAATGTGAAAAGGTAAAGATTACCAACTAAGTCATACGATGTTTAGTAAAAGTCGACTTGGTGATATCAGCAATCATTATCAATTAATACATCAAAGTGAGACGGGACCATAGTGATAGATAGCAAAGAACAAGAAATAGTAGTAGTTTCAATGAAAGTAGTACTACATATAAAGAATACAGTTCGAGATAAGTGTAATAATATTGAAACTATGAATCTAGGAGAAGATAAAGAATGAATGTATTTACGTCACCGCTTACTCGTTGAACCAGAAACCGATTTTGAGTCATGTAAAGTAGTTGCCATAATCATAAGAGTTTCGGAATACAAATAGACGAAATTCAAATTCGTGAAGTAGTAGACAACAATCGAAAAGCCCCATAGCTGAGTCACAGCTCTGAGAACATTTCATATGATACATTCTTCGAGGTCATCAAAACTGCAAGTCAATTAGTCTATGTGTCGAGCAAAAGTTTCAATTTCTGCAACTAGTTCTTCACGAAAAACAACTGATAGCTTAGTAAGACTTATTTGGATATTAGATTTCAAAAATAGATCACTGTAAAAATAATGCATACTGAACTGGATATTTGTGTTATAGATTTCCTGTGTAGAGTGGATAAGCTAAAAGATGGAATATGGTATCCGCTCAATATTCCAAGCACATATAGATTTGTTCAGATACAGTTGTCATAAAGCATTTTAATAGATCTACAACTAACTATTTAACCCTAAATATGTAAGAAACAGACATTCTGACTCAATCTTTTCAATAACCATTGATTTCTGATCAATGGTACATATGAGGGTGGGAAGAGTCCGCTCTCCCTCTCGAAATACTCTCACACGACCACACGTAAACCGCCACTTTCAGGAAGTCCTAATCACTGCCTTCTCGTGGCATTACTGTTGTTTACGAAAATGAGAGACCGAAAAGCGGATGTCCGGTGCTTTAAACGGATCCCAAACCAATGGTGCACATAGGCTCCAGTATCCTGAGGGAACAAATGGCGTATGAACCAGTTTTCGGTCACCGGCTACCATGTGACTGCATCTCCTCACGATGCTCCACTGCCTTGTGGGTCAGACCTTTAGGTCAAAGGCTCGGGGTGTGGCCCTCTAAGACAACCACCTGCCTCGGTCTGGGCACCCGGGCGGTATCACAGCCCACACACAAATCAAGTGACTTGTATTCGGTGCCCCTTTGTACCAATATTTGTGTTCAAATAAATAAGAAAACCTAAAACTTAATCACAAACAGAACTTGTGATTAAATTTCAACCTGACTGATCGTTTATGCTCTAAACAATGTAAGCAACAGTGGTTGAGAACAGAAATAACGAAAAAATGGAGTGACTGTTTATTTCGCCGTTAGTTTAGCTTAAAGAACTCAAATGATAATATTATAGGGAAGGAGACTTATCAGTAACAGTTGTAAACTAAAATTAAACTCACTTGAGGTATAACCATATATCCGAAAATATAATCGCAGCATCAAGATCGAAACGATGTATGGGTTGGAGAGTTACGGCACAGGCAAGTTCTGGAGTACGACAAATCTCAAAGAAATCGTGTTTTTCACGTAGCTCACGGAACTCAGGTAAATAACGACCAGCTTGACGCATTATCCATACAGGTAGGCGGGAAACAGACTCCCCTTTCGCAGCTCTTATAATGTTATCATTTTTTAAAGTAGGAAAGTTGTTGTGCATTTCAGTTATATAGATCCCTAAGATAGCAAATGGCGAACGTTTTCAAATCTTTAGGAAAACCAAGACCTGGGATTACAGAAGAAACATGAATATTGCAAATTAAGTGTTAAAAACACTTTTAAACGGTTTTGAATAAGAGCGGGTACTGACTATATATACGTATATGATTGACTATCACTATCATTAAAACTTGGTTCACGAATTGTCGAATCAGTTAGAAAAGTGGCAATATTGCACCCTGATGAAAGAACTCGTTTGACCACTACCCAAGGATTAGATAATCCTAATATCTCAGTCTGACAGGTCAGTTGCCGACCAAAAAAAGCTTAGTGGCTGAACTTGGGTAACGCGAGTTCAAAACCTACGGGTAACAATAATTTCTCCAACTCTCAAATGTCTAATGTTGGCAAAATGAACAGTGTACCAGTAGCAAAGCAAAAGACAATCAACAAAACAGTTTAAAATCACCAAGCATCGAAAGGAAATAACACTATTTCCAAAATTACCAGAATGTGCTAAAATTAAGGTTGTTATTCTGAATGAAAACAGAACTAGGTTAGGACGAGAAATACTCTGTTTATAGCAATCAATACTCCCAATAAATTTCAACCAAGCGATAAAAACAGTATTAGCAGGATGCGATGAATTTATTGTATTTCAGCGTTTTATCATTATTTACATATGAGCCAACAAGTTTATTTAGTTTAAGAAACAATAACATATTTGGGATTTCCTAGGTATTGGGTTGCAATCAGCAAGTAGTTGTAGTGAAATTATTCAGAGGTGAAGATCGTACTGAAACCAGGTACACTAGGAGGAAAAAGGGGACATCCACAAATCCAAAGAACAATTCCAATTAGAAAAAAATATTCGTATCCACACCATTTTGAGTAACCGGGCGAGACTATAAGCCTTTACACTCATAGTACGGCTCATAATCAAGTACCTGACGGTTCATTTAACTAGATTAACCTGTTTCTAAGATGTCCCAAGTATGTTAAATATAAGGACTAAAGTAAAAGACACTTAAAATGCCCCTAAAGATGAGTCATCAAATACCAGCAAGCTGATTTGCAAGCGAGCTGAACCTACAGGGAAAATTGGAAAACATAAATCTCCAATAGCTTTCAACGCACAAATTTACTTTATTATGATCTGTCAAGAAAATTTCGAGGGAATAATCAGATCAACAGTTGTCATGAAATTTAAATTCAAGTTAGGAAAACCTTTTCTTACTACACCAATCGTTAATGTATATTTTGTGTTCGAGTGAGAATTAGGCGATTAGACACTATATTAGCAACTATATTGCAAGTGTCCATAATCAAACATCTAGAGTAACTGAGAAACATGCCTAAGAGTAACGCATGACTTTCAATGATCGCTCTTTACATTGATAAATCTTGTAGCGGTAAATAAATCCCTAAAATAAATAGCTCTGTAAGTTTTCGACATTGGATGCTGACCATATGTTTTAGTGGACTCATCTAGCTGAAGGCGCTCGGTCAGGCATCCGCACCAGATCACGTGTAGTAACGCCGTGCTCAACATCAACCACAATCGCTAGCCAGATTAGATCAGAGAATCCCGGTATATTGGTCATCGCCAAATATACTCTTCCGATCTCCTCGACTCTGTCTTTTGATTTCTCTTGGTGGGAACGAAATATCTTAGAAGGTGTTACTGGTAGAAGCGTTGTCAAACACTGAATACCTGTGACATCATCATTGGTGAGACCGTCGTGATCTGGTACACCTTATTGCAACTGTGAGTCTGTTCCTTTTTGGGATTTTTATATATCATTGCCTTATTTTTTATTTTTTTTAAACATTGTGATTTTTTTTCGTGTTTTTCTTGGATATATATATATATTTTCCCCTCGTTCATTATCGTACTTCATATTTCATCATGACTGAACAGACACCTAAAGTACTCAAGCTTAAGACCTTGTCCCCACCTTCGTTTCAACTGATGCCTTTCTGGCCCGACAACATCGAAGCCTGGTTTTGCTACGCAGAAGCCGACTTTTCCGAGCACGGCGTGATCGACACACGTGCACAATTCCTCGCAGTAGTCAAGGCACTGCCGCGGGAATTCAACAGGTACGTAACACCTAGTATGTTTACTAGTGATGTTTCCGATCCTTACGAAATCTTAAAACGCTCGATTCTTAAACGAGGAGACCTAACCGATCGACAAAGGTTAGATCAACTCTTCAACAATATCGACCTGCAACACGGTTCTGCGACGGACATGTTGCAACGGATGAGAGAGGTTATAGGCCCAAGAACTTTCGACGAAGGTCTATTCAAACAACTCTTCTTGTCAAAACTTCCCCAACAGGTGCAAGCAGTTCTGGTCTCGTTCCAGAACAACGCCTTAGACGAACTAGCTGTATCTGCCGACCGCATTCTAGAAATTACGAAACCTTCTACTACCGAGGTATTTTCAGTCAAAGAAAAGCCTCACACGACTCAGAATGACATAACCGACTTATGTCACACACTCACGCGTTATCTTAGTCTTCGTACCGACCGTAAGAGATCGCGCACACCACGTAGAAGCATTTCTCGTAAGCGATCTGTCTCTAGACCACGAGAGACAGATAACCCCGACTGGTGCTGGTATCATAACCAGTATGGAAAGTTTTCCAGAAATTGCAGAAAACCCTGCAATTTTCCCAACACGAAACCGACTGATTCGGGAAACTTCCAAGCCGGCACGCGTTAACGGCAACCGTAGCCGGCGAACAAAGCCGTCTGTTATTCGTCACAGATGTGACAACGAGAGTTCGCTACCTCGTCGACACTGGCGCAGAAGTTAGCGTTCTCCCAGCAAATCCTAACGACCGACTTCACGAATCGACCCTAAACTTACAGGCGGCAAACGGAAAACCGATCGCTACGTATGGCAAAAGGTACGTTTACCTTAACGTGGGTTTACGCAAACCCATCCACTGGATTTTCGTCGTTGCAGATGTTTCTATGCCAATCATTGGTATGGACCTTCTACAACACCACAATCTGATCATCGACACTCGCAAACGGAGGCTAGTAGACGGAAACACTAATTTGTCCGTTTGCGTAACTTCTTTTACTGGTTGTAGAGTATCCCCAGTCACAGTTAAACATATGATAGACCCACTCTATCAACCACTACTCGATAAGTACCCTGGGATACAACAAACGCAAACGAAACTACCGTGTGTAACCAGCAATGTTACACATCACATCACGACTACAGGACCACCTGTATTTTCTAAAGCACGACGACTAGCTCCTGAAAAGCTAAGGTTAGCGAAAAACGAATTCGATCACATGATGGACTTAGGAATCATACGACCGTCAAGTAGCCCATATGCATCTCCGTTGCACATGGTCCCTAAAAAGGACAGCAACGATTGGCGTCCAACTGGTGACTATCGGCGATTGAACGCGAAAACCATTCCCGATCGTTACCCGTTGCCTCACATTCACGATTTGACAGCTACCTTGAAAGGTACAACTGTCTTTTCGAAAATCGACTTGGTTAAAGCGTATAACCAAATCCCTATGGCTACTGACGACATACCGAAAACGGCTATCATAACTCCCTTCGGACTCTATGAATTTTTGCGAATGCCTTTCGGTCTAAGGAATGCTGCTCAAACATTCCAAAGATTCATAGACGACGTTTTTCGAGGTCTCAACTTCGTACACGCGTATGTTGACGACTGTCTAATCGCAAGTCCGGACAGAGAAACACATCTCAAGCATCTGGACCTTGTTTTCGAACGATTACAAAAACATGGCATAACTGTAAACGTTCAGAAATGCCAATTTGGAACCGACTCGTTAGACTTTCTGGGACACACTATCGATGCTCAAGGTATCCGACCCCTTAGAACCAAAGTGGCGGCCATTCTGGATTACCCAGAACCGACCACCGTCAAGCAATTACGCACGTTCAACGGCCTGGTAAGTTTCTATAGACGTTTCATACCCAGATGCGCATCACTTATGAAACCTCTGACCGACCAACTTCGTGGAAATGCGAAATCCATTAATTTGGACGACACCGCACGAAAAGCATTCTCCACAGTCAAGGAACTGATTGCTAAAGCAACAATGCTCGCACATCAGGACACCCGAGCACCCATTAGCATCGCAGTAGACGCATCCGACTCAGCAATCGGAGGAGTCTTACAACAATGGGTTAACAACTCCTGGCAACCCTTGGCATTTTTCTCTAGAAGGTTGCTAGACACCGAATCGAGGTACAGCACATTCGGTAGGGAACTCCTAGCTATGTATTGTGCTGTACGGCATTTCCAACACTATATCGAAGGCCGTGAATTCACTCTTTTCACGGACCATAAACCGCTCACTTTCTCGTTAAGCTCTCCTTCTGACAAGTACTCTCCCCGTGAGTCTCGACAACTGGACTACATTTCGCAGTTTACTTCAGATATTCAACACATCTCTGGAGCAAACAATGTAGTTGCAGACGCTTTATCTCGTATAACTTCCTTGAACAGTTTCCAAGGAATCGACCTTCTTAAACTCGCCGAGCTTCAAAAAGAAGACAGTGATCTTCAGCACGAGTTATCGTCCACAACACTTAAACTACGCATCAAACAGATGGGAACAGGTAAGGAAACCTTACTTTGTGACACATCTACAGGTAGGGATCGCCCAATCGTGCCGAAACATTATCGACGCAATGTCTTCAACACATTGCACAAACTTTCTCATCCAGGTGTTCGTGCAACCATCAAGC